GGAGCTGGTTCCTGCAGGAGGGGATGTGGAGGGTTTGATCAGCCCAGTACCTCCGGATAAATTGCATCACGCTGAAACTTTCGTTCCTCCAAAAGCATCTCAGCCCAATTGCCCTGTAATTTAATCTTCTCTGTTTTTCTGGGATTGATTCAGTTTGCTGTGGGTTTTATTTGCATATATATAGTTTCTAGTTGGAGGAGAGGCTGCTCTCTGTGCTAGGACTAAGAGAGCTGGCTGAACGTTAGGTGGTAACCTACTGCACAGTAAAAGCATTCTGCTATTCCAAATTTCCCTCTTTCTCCCCTGCTCTTTGCTCTTCCCTCTCTAATTTCTCCTGTTAAAAAAAAATCATGACATTCTACTCCTTTTTTAAAAAAATAAAATTCCCTACTCTTGATTTCTTTCCCTGTCCTTTCTGCTTGTGTCTTCCATGGCCATGCTCAAACCTTGATACTGATGTCTGAGCCAAATCCCTCTTTCTCCCCTGCTCTTTGCTCTTCTCTCTCTAATTTCTCCTGTTAAAAAAAAATCATGACATTCTACTCCTTTTTTTTTAAATAAAATTCCCTACTCTTAATTTCTTTCCCTGTCCTTTCTGCTTATGTCTTCCATAGCCATGCTCAAACCTTGATACTGAGGTCTGAGCCAAAGTTTTGAACCCATATGGTTCATATCTCATCTGCATTTATAAACCAATGGGATGATTCCCACTTTTTGCAGGGAGTTTGTTATGTTCAAGTGGATTTGGAAGGGAGATCTCTTAGAGTCAATGACAGAAAATACTTGCTAAATATTCAAAAGTATCACTAACGAGGGAAGGGTAACGAGATCTCTGGATTCCTCTGCCCCACCATGGTGGTATCCGCAGGTTTGTGCACATGTCTGTGACCCAGGAAAGCCGCAGGGAGTCCCTGGCTGTGGTAGCAGCATGAGCTGCTGCGTGACCCCGGCACAGCGGGTCCGGAGGGCACGTCCCTGGCTGCCGCAGGCTTTGCTTCCATGATGAGCAGACAGGATCGAGGCAGCAATCGGGGATGTAGGAGACTCTTATCTCTGCTGGAGGTTTGCTGTGTTACTATGGATGTCACCGCAGCTTTTGGTGCCCGGATTTGCTAGCTGGAGAATAGAGGTGAGGTTCCCTTTCCTGCTTTTCCATTTACATGAGCAGCGTTGCTGAGCGTTTCTTGCTGTTTCTGCAATCTAGCAAAGACCCCATCTTAAACTGCACATCTGAGCTATGAGGGAAACCTATTGCAAGACTTGGATTCCTCATTTTTCTGGCATCAGGTAAGCAGAATTATTCTTCTTGAAGATTGAGGCCTTTTTAACCATTGCAAAGGAACAGAAGTGCCCAAAGGCCAAGTTTTACGAAGTCGTTTGTGGGATCACATTTGAATAGGGAGGACCTGGTGCTGCACCCTGGAAGTTGCTCTGGGGCCCAGTAGCATTCCTACCTCCTTTGCCTGTTTTCCAGCAGCTCCAGGCCCTGCATGGCAGGATTGTTCCTGCCGGCTCAGGTCCCATGGGAGGTGCCAACGGAGCTAAAGCTGGAAAGGCTTTCATTGGCGAGGAATCCTTGTCCCAGTTCTGCAGGGATGCCGAGTTTCATGTGGAAGTGCTGCGCTTTCAGACAGCGGGGGACTGGAGTATCAAAATCCCAGAGCTGATGTTGATACCCTGTTCACAGGACTGGAGGCAGGGTCAGTCTATAAGGCCATGTCAACACCTTTGCCTAAAAGGGGGAGCAAAAGCAGGGGAATGAAGGCATGCACGCTCTTGTTTCAGCATCTCCCCGTACTTTTCCCAGGAGAAGCCTGCCCTTTTGAGCCACCAGATATCACTTCCTCAAAGGGAATGTGGCAACAGGGATAGCAAATTCCACCTTAGTGCTGAAGACAAAGAGGGAGCAACCACCACCCCAAACTCCTACATAGTGTCTAGCACTTGGCTGCTGTAATGACAGTCACGGAAGGAGGTGGAAGAAGGACCACAGCTAAGGGCAGGGGAGATCCTTACAGTCCGGCGGAGGGTTTGTCTCATGCTGCAACGGGTCACAAACCCTGTGCTTAATAAAGGTACAGGCTTTGGGTTAGGCACACGTCCAGGGCAGCGAGAAACTATGATCCAGTCATCTGATGCCTCTCCCTCTTCCAGTGTCTTATTCCTGGCATTTGTCAGCACCACCCTCCCAGGGGAACCCCTCACCGATAAAAGATCTCCACTTCGGTCAGGGAGAACGTGCTGCTGAGTGGGTTCCCGGTGGACACAGGGGAACTCCAGCCTCGCGGACAGGTGGGTTTCAGTGCACAGTCCAACTGTGCATTGAGAGGTGGTTTCCATAGGGGAGCATCAAGGCGGGTCTGTGCAACTCAACTCATTTTGGCTCCCCTGGCCACTCTCAAACTGGGCAGTGCCAAAGCAGAGGGCACCTCCCGTTGGAGACAAGCACATTGCTCTGTCCTCACCTGGCCTCACAGCTCCACTGCTGACAGGCCAGGCTCAAAGACCAACCCAGCCCACCAGAAAATGTGGCTGCATGTTGCAGCAGCACAGCAGAAAAGTCATCTAATATTTTGGGGGGATTACAGCTATCCTATTCTTTCCTCACTGACAGTTTCAGAGTCTTCCTAAACTAATTCTTGGGCTTTTTGAAGGAAAGGTTATATCTATTATGGATGGTTATTTATGCTATAGATAAAAACTTATATCCAGTTTTGCCAACATGGAGAAATCTTTTGTCCACTGAATGGGAAACAAGCATAACTTTGTCTGAAATTTTCTCTCTGATTTTGTGCCTTAATATTCTGCATTTCTGATTTTCTCAAACTCTTGGAAGGGGTCATTGCTTATTGCATCCTTTGCCTTTTGCAAAGGGCCCTTCTGCAGAGCACTCAGAGTTCCTCAGAGGAAAGCGTCATATGAAAAATAAATGTGCTGAAATTAAAGGGTGCTCCTAAAAATGTTATATTAATAAACAGCCCTTTGTCTTGCTAATCCCAGTGAAGAGTTTTCTTCTGAGACGGGAATGTGGCTCTGTGTGTCGCAAGTAGAAAACCCCAAATTAGCTGATGGGTTTGAAGTCTTTGCCAACTGTGTTCAAACAGTGCTACCTCCTGGCGTGGCGCCTGGCCCTCGGTGTCCCAGCTGAGGAACCCCAGCGGCTGCAGCCATCCAGGCGGTTAACCCGTGAGACTGTCATCCCCTGGAAAACACCGAAAAACAGAGGGGAGGCATCGTTGGTCGGGGCTAGCCCTAGCCACAAAGCCTCAGGAAGAAATGAGCACTCTAAGAAACCAAGAAACAGGCTGGAGGCCATGGAGGAGAGCCTGCAGTTGGCTATGTGCTAGGGAATAACCCACAAAAATGCAGGATCCCAGAAGGCAGTGCCACAGCTACATGTTATTACTGCGTTTGTATCACTGTCGCACAAGGAAACCCCACAGGAGGCCCAGGACTCTACCGTGTTAAGTGCAGCATATGCAAAGAGTCCAGGGAATTGTCATCCCCAGAGAGTTTAGCATCCAAGGGGAAGCTAAACGTACTGCTGAGATCACAGCTCCTCATGGCTTTTATCTTCAGTGCAAACTCAAAGTGATGATTCTCTGCAAACAATGTAACTTGAGCTGTTGAACATGCACCCAAGAGAGACTAGAGATGGGAAGGAGCAACTAGGCCACCTTTGCTTGTCCCCTTGCCATGCTCTGTCAGGCATCACCGCTCTCCAGGTGCCTTCAGTTGGTCCCTGTGTTCGGAGGGACTCCAGATTTGTGTTTTTTTTTCTGTGACTTCCTCCGATTTCTCCTGGTTTAGCTGCTGTGGCCACAGCAGGTGCTGGGGGTGCTGAGCTGATGGGCACACACCTCGGATCGCATCTCTTTGCTCTCGGTGCAGCGACAGGTTCCCCAGGTGGGCTGGGAGACAGCGGCACAGCCTCGGGGAACCACTCGGCCCCTTTGGGAGCGCTGCCGCAGGGCCAAACGCAAGGAGATTCCTTGAGAGAGTCCAAACAGCAGGAGAACAGCGGCCACAACGAGGAAACACAAGTGAACGTGCATAAATCACTCCCCAGGCTGCAATTATTCCTCCAGTGCTCACACAAATGGCACAGTCCAGATACAGCTTGGAGCTTATTGGATTGCTGCTGGGCTAACAAGATTCATGGGAAAATTAAAAATTCATCAGATGAATAAAAACAATGTGTTTTGCTGGAAAATAAAGTTGGCTTCCATGAAGTTTGCAACTTGAAAATCATTTTGCTGTTTTGAACCAAGCCTGACATCGCTGAACATGTATTGTTTTCAATTTGAGTGGGTCGCAGGACTCAACACCGCATGATTGAAATGGAAGTGGAGCATTTCAACTGAACCCGTCGGAATCTTTCAGGTTTACAGCTTGAAAAATGCTTCCCTGATTGTGGCTTTTCACTACAATTCGTGGCAGATTTATTATGCTTTTCTCTGGTACCCTAACAAGTTTCGCAGGGAAGGAAAACCACTCTCTGCCTGACTCTGACTGCACACACTTTGGGGCCAGACATTGTTTTGCATTGACAGCTGTAATATGTACACTTAAAACAAGGGCTACCCAAAGCCCTGTTGTGCAACCAGCTGTTTAACCCAAACAGTAATATTAGCAGTAAACAAGTCAAAGCAACAGTAGCTGCTCTAGTCCCCAGCAATAGCAGCTTTTTGCATGCGGAAAGCAAGGTTGAATGCAAGAGTCCTCACCGGGCACTGCCCATCTGCGCTCGGGGTCTGGATCTACGTCTGGTTTTGCGAAGCTAGGCCAGCAAAAGCTCCATCCGGCTGCAAATGCAGAGGCTCTTTGCACCATTTGGGATGCTCTGTGGTCACCCGCAAGGTGCTGATGGATGTGACAAGGATGCAAGGCAGGTTCCTGCCCTCGCAGAGCAGCTAGAAGCCAGGCCGGCCATGAAATGGCAGCAACCACCACCACTGAGGCAACCACACTGTCCCCATCTCTTCATGGAGATCATAAACTCCTGGTGAAGCCACCTGGTTTCTTCCTGTCGTTTGCCTCATTTAAAAAAAAAAAAAAAAAAAAAAAAGATGGATTTTCACCATGGATTTCCTCAAGTGGAAAAACTGTTATCTTGAGCATCACTGAACATTCTTCAGACTAGACCCCAGGCCTGGGCACAAAAAAAACAGGGTCCCCAGTCTTTTGAATAGGTCTCTCCCCCTATCTTGAATAGGTCCAGAGATGTTAAGGAATTCACATGCATTGATTTGCCTCTCACATGGGTGACTTGCTTAGGGTCATTTTTGATGTGATCTGCTGTAAGTCAGCAGGGCTGACTTACAAGTCAGGGCTGTTCTGTTTAGTCTTACTCATCTGCATCTCACTATCTCACTTCTTTCCTGGTTGGACCAGCTGTTCCTCTGCAATCAGTCACACCAAGATGGCCAAACCATCTAAACGTGCTGTTCCGTGTGTGTCGCTCCAGACTGAAAACAACCTCACATCTTCCACAAACCACCCAGAGGCCCCTGTGTGGGACGCAGACGGCCCTTTGGGGGCTCTGAGACAACCAGGGGATTCCCCAAAGCAGAGGAGGGAGGTTTTGCAAAGCTTGTCCTCACTGATGACCCAGGGAAGCCTCAGTGCAGACCCAGCCATAGGGAAATCAAACATCAGCACCAGTGAGTGGTACTATCTGCTCTTCTCTATCCTCTTTCCAAGAAGGTGGAAACCTCTGGGCCAGAAGGCTCCCTGTGACGTTACACCAAAGTCACACCAAGCTCCCATCTGCTCAGAAAGCCTCAGATTGCAAAGGAGCCACTTGTGGGGTTAATTTTTTTTAAGTTACATGCAACCAACTGTTCCCATGCTGCATGTCACAAGGAAGACCCATAACCTGTGGAGAAAACCCAAGCAGGGAAGAATTCCATCTTCTCCCTGTATATGCATATGTATGTATATATTTTTTTCTGTAGTAGGAAGACAAGTTTCCTCCTGCTGTAGCACAGAGGAGTTGGGGTGATGGTGCACGAAACATGTGAGGTGCATTCGTGCAGCGGGACGGACAGCCCAGGGAGGGCAAAATGTGCCCTTTTGCACTGAGTAAGGACAGACTGCTCAGCTCCATACCTGCTCACAGCACCAGAACAGCCAAAAGCACAAGGAGGCTGGAGCAAAAAGAGCAGGTTGTTTCCCCTCCCCGGAGGCTTCTTGGAGAAGAACCAGGTGGCAGCAACCGAGTGGCAGGGGACACCAAGGGAAGCAACGTTCTGCAAGTCACCAGGACTGCTGCAACGGGAGCAATCTGGCGCTTAACCTCTGCTGGGCAGGTCTTGCAGGTCTTGTATATAGACCATATGCAGCTGCAGCTCCCTGCATGGTTTTGCCAGCCTGCCTGAAGCCATCTCGTTTTTAAACTAGCAAAACTTCATGCTGTAAATTAAGTCAAAATGGTTGAAAGAAAAGGCATACAACTATAGCTGACAGAATTAACCTTGTTTATCTACAAAAGGAGGCTAAAAAGCTGTAAAATAAAAATCCATAAGTCGTCCAGAATGTAAAAGGTTATTATAAAATGGGAGGTGGTCAGTTGTCCCTTAGCTCCTGGAGGGAGGACTGGGGGTAATTGAAGTAATGTGCTGCAAAGGCAACTCTGGTTAGACACTAGCAGTATTCAAAAGGAGATTTAAACACCAGACAATTAAATTGGAGATTAAATTACTGAAGGAATCTGCAGAATCTCAATTTCTGGAAGTTTTTAAGGATGGATGAGACTAACTTTGATAAGAAATGGTCTGGGAATACTTGTTCCCTACCTGGTAAAGGAAGCCTAGTTAACTTCTGACCCACTCTCAACCTGAGATTGTGTTTTAGGAGCTGAATACTGAGAAATAGATTGGCAAAACAAAAAGATAATGCTGCTTTAAGGAATCACTGCCTGTAGGAGCAGGCCACTATACGAAATGTAGCACCTCAGCTTTTTATTCTCTGCCTGCTTCCCATCTCCTGTATTGCATTTTTGCAGGTATCACTCACTCTTCTCCAAGCCCTGGGCATGCTTCCTGCAGGATCAGGGCTGCTACATGATATTTAGGGAGTTTTGTAACAAACGCATCACTATGGCATCTCCTTTCACCTAAAAAAGCTGCAGTCAGGGCCTGGTGGTGCTGGAGTTTGAACCTGCGGTTCCTAAGCACCGGCGTGCACGCCGCTCCGCTCTGCTTTCCAGCCTGCACAGCTCCCCGAAGCCTCAGGGCCAGACTGATTTATTGGTGCTGCCTGGAGCCTGCAGACACGGCAGGGAGCTCGTGCTGGTGAGCAAGGGCCAGCTGAACACCCAAGGTGCTCCGGGTAGAAACAGGTGGATTAAATCCCCG